GCTCAGTTAATAATTCTCAGGCAAATGAAAAAAGGCAAAAGGGGCAGTCAGTCAGATCAAAGATTGGATTTAGACAGAATGAGTGAATAATCACCAGGAAAGATTAAAACAGGCCAACCGTGGATGACAACAACAGAAAAATAAAACAAATTACAAGGCCTCAAAATGTCCCTGCTGGATATTGATTGTTGTATGGATCTGATTGTCCAGATCTGATCTGGAAAATTAGTTTGTTGTTTTTTACTGCCTTAAAGGAGAAAAGTGATTGTATTTGAAAAAACACAGCCCCAAGTGTAATAATGGCTGAACAATAATGATTTTCAAGTCATATACTGTATGTACAAGTATCCTGTAAGTAAAAAATAAAGTAAAACGGCAGCAGGTGAAGAAGATTTTATTCTCTCTGTGTGAAGTATTTTCTAAGTGTAAAGCAGTTCATTTTCTCTTCTCAAAATGTATGGAGTGTTTGCAGCAAACATGCCAGTGTGTGTTAAAAATACAGTGATGTGTCTGTGTAAGATGAATATGTCTGCACAGGAGCAACACTAGGAGAAGGCGATGAAGCTGAAGAATGATTGTGTAGAATAACTGAATATGTAAAGCACTGATTATACATGTTAAATACTTGTATGAAGCTATATGTGTGAGAAGTTAGAATGAGTAACATATTATAAAGTTATTATCCTATCATGACAATGTATGTAAACACTTAGTTCCTTTGCATAAGTTGCATCTATACTTTGCTAACATAGACCTGTGACATCTCTGTTGACATGAGCTAGTGGGCTAAGAGCCAAGAATAGCAGGACCCCTTAGACTAGAAACCTATTCAAAAATGGTCAAGAGTTAAAAGGAGACATCTAGGGGTGTGTCAAATAACCTGTATAAAGATTTTGAAAACACACAGAAACTTTAGAAGGAGCAGGAGAGACTTTGGAAAGAGAGAACCAGAGATAGGAAGTGTCTAGGAGAGACATCACAATGCTCTGGGGTCTGCTCTGCTCTTTCTCGGCTTTATCATGGAGAATAAAGTCTATTTTCTGATATTCAAAACCTCTGGTCTGATAATTTCTAATTGATAAGAAGTCGAATCACGACACAGGCTGTAAAAATGTAATTTACTATAAAGGCTTATATTAAAAAAATAGCGCTAATATTTGACTTATTTGCTTAAAACTAAATGTGAATTTGCTGTAAAATTACGATTAGAGTATCATATATATGTGAAAAAAATTACCATAGTATTTTACACTGTTTTACTTTATAAAAGGATCAAAGGTTTCTTTCAAAACCAAAAATCATATGGATCCCTGATGTACAAAAATTACACAAACACAGAAGCAAACACATACCCACACAAAGTAATTTCACTAGTTACATTTTAAATTCATTCTGCTTTAGGATCGGTTTGAATGGCCACGACACATCCATCTAGCTCTGAGAGGCATTATTCTCGCTCGGTGACTTTCAACTCTACGGCATTTGATCTTGCACTAATGCATATATTCACCAGAATGTGATGTGTGAGGAGGCTGCGACGGCTTTTGAGCTTGTGAATTATTAGCATATACTCTCTCAAAACAGCAGCGCGAGGATCGGTGGAGACGGGAGACGACAAGTACACAACCTGAAACCAAACATAAGAGAGCAGTGGCACATGCTCTGAGAAACCCTTACGCTGATGAATCTTCATGATGCTGTACAGAAAAGTGCTCTCAGATGCATTGTTTACCATTCTGTTTCCTCTTCATTACAGTCGCTGTTTCATTCCTGACAGAGCGGAGATGCTGATGCGTCGTATCTCTGCTTGTCCTGTAGAGAAACTTGAACCCGCAGCCCTAATGGGCCGTTTGGGGGAAGCTGATTGGCATATCCGATGAGTCCTGTCGCCTGTGTTCTGTGTGTCCAGCCCAGCTCCTGCTACTGTTAGTCTGAGGCGTGCATTTTCCTCTGTTAATGGTCCTGCAGCAGCAAACTTTCTGGTGATCGCTGTCTAATTGCTGCCTGTGTCAGTGGATGCCAGATCAGCCCGGAGAGAAACGGCCAAATGAGACACACATCAAACGCCAGCAGAGGCCGAGATGATGAAGATGAAGGTCCGCTGTTTACTCATTACACACACATCATGTGTGTGCGGCGGAGGCAGTGGGACTGAGACCTTGGCACATCAAAAACGGGCCTCGCGCACATACACATCATTAGTGCCATGAGAATGGCATAAATGAGGCCCACGCACTCAGCATCTAATGGTTTGTGTCTGGGGGCAATTCTTTTAGCAATGTCATATGGAAAAACAGCACGATAGCAGTAAAAATATGTGAAAACGTCCAGCATGTGTCATTTTGCTGAGACGGAGATGGAGGATAAATATAAATACCACATCTAATTGATTTGGTTGCTAGGGAGTGTTAGCGCCGATGCAGTAAGAAAATGATCACAAATGGCCCTAATAGTAGCACAGCATTGCAAATATTTCCTTTCAAACACACACGCACAAGGCATTTCCTTCCTCGACGGAGTCATAAAAACCAAATAGGAGTTTTCAGAGAAACTGCTTGCACACCACACTGAAGATTAATTACTGTAGCCGACTGCTGAGAAGAGTCCAGAGGCAAAGACACACCAGAGATTAAAAGTGCCAAACTCTTATAGTGGAATGATTTAGTGCAGTGAAATTCTCTCTAGATTTAGCAGACAATGTGCTTGTAAACCTGTAGGATACAGCGTCACTGCTTAAGCGGTTGATGCAGGATGGACACTATGGCGACACTGGGGTGGAGCAGTGGGGAATGTTTTGTTCCCTGGGCTTGGCATGAGGGAGGCCCTGGTGCAGTGCACAGAGGACTAAGATCCACTAGACTGGAAACTTTAAAGTAGGTCAAATGATGGACTAAAATGATTTCAAATATGTAACTTCTAATTAAAGATTGCTGTATGTCACTGGTGTTTTTAACCAGTGAAAAGATGATAAAGAATATATACACTCACTGGCAACTTTATTAGGTACACCTGCCCAACTGCTCATTAACGCAAAATTCTTACCAGCCAATCACATGGCAGCAACTCAATGCATTTAGGCATGTAGACAGAGGATCTGCTGCAGGTAAAATCGAGCATCAGAATGGGGCTCACCAAAATGGGACAATAGAAGATTGGAAAAATGTTTTGATGGTAGGGTCACAATTTGACATCAACAATATACAAACATAGATCGCTCCTGCCTTCTATCAATGGTTCAGGCTGGTGGTGTTGGTGTAATGGTGTGGGGGATATTTGTTTGGGCCACAGCCTACCCGGGAATTATTGCTTACCATGTCCCTCCCTTAATGACCATAGTGTACCCATCTTCTTCTGATGGCTACTTCCAGCAGGATAACATACCATGTCATAAAGCACGAATCATTTCAAACTGGTTTCTTTAACATGACAATGAGTATGTTTTCATGGACACCGATAATTTAATTTTAATGCGATTAAGACAATACTCTGATTTTTTTTATACTCATTTTTTTTATTTTATTTTTTTATTTTTTGTTTCAATTAATCAGATTAAGGTCATAACATAACTAAAGAAAAATCGAATTAAGAAATGTGGAGTATGCTGATTTTAGTTGCATTATTGAAGTGCAGTACAGACATGTAAACACCTTAACCTGAACTATTACCGCCATAGGACTTTTTGCTGCGTTTTGCGACAGGATAGTCCACACACACAGCTGTTTGACACTCTTTGCACCTATCGAGTCAGTGAAGACCACAGACACCTGCATTGTGAAGTGCAGAGTTTTTTTTCTTCTTCTATTAATCATGCAATATGAACTTCAACTAAAACAACACTCTTCCAGCAGTTCATAGTTGCATCCAATATCTGGTTTATCATCTGGAATGCATGAAATGTTCCCGAATGAAAATGAAAAATGAAATGCGGATAGTGTGGTGACGCAATGATAATAATCGAATTATGTGCTATAACATTAACAAAACAGGATCATGAAAGGAACATTCAAAAAGGAACTCATGTAAATTCCTTAATCTTATTATTGTCTTAATTAGATTAAGGCAAATAATTCATTTACTGATGTCCATGTAAACGTATTCACTGAGTTCACTGTACTCAAATGGCCTCCACAGTCACCAGATCTCAATTCAACAGAGCACTTTTGGGATGTGGTGAACGGGAGAATAGCATCATGGATGTGTAGTGAACAAATCTGCAGCAACTGCGTGATGCTATCAATATGGAACAAAATGTCTGACGAATATTTCCAGTACCTTGTTGAATCTATGCCATGAAGGATTAAGGAAGTTCTGAAGGCAAAAGTGCATCCAACCTGGTACTAGTAAGGTGTACCTAATAAACTGGCCGGTGAGTGATAGACTATTTAGAAAGAGGTGATAAATATATATATATATATATATATATATATATATAAATATAAACTTTGAATCTCATTCATCTGTGCCTCCCCATTTTTAATATGTCTGCTACGCTACACCCCTGTATATACTGTGTAAATTATTAATGCATAAAACATTTAAAATGGTGAACTAAATATGATACATTTCAATATTTATCACATTTAATAATAGCCTTATTTCAAACATAAAATCAATGTAAAATATTGAATAAAATGTTAAAAATTGTAAAATATTTCTTTAAAGGATTGATATTATATTATATTAAATTATATTAAAAAACTGAGAAGCCTAGGCTACTCACGATTGGAACTTTATAAATGATTCCAGGCCCTGAACAGACATATAAGAATGATACTTTAGTGATTTCAAGTTTGTTTTTAAAAATACAAAAGCGAGCTATAGTAAATCGATTATTGTTTTTCCACAATATTATTATACTACAATGATTTCTCATCTCTATTTATTTAATGACGTTTGATGAACGACTAGAGGGCGCATGATGTTTCTATGGCGAGATGAACAATAACATCCGGGTTTCTTTCAACCCTACATAGCAACCGCAGCGCGTCCTCAGCCCTTGCCAACTCAAACAGACGAGCACTAATGCGACGCCATTGAGTTATTAGCAGGTGTCCACGGTGGAGTTTTGTTTCTGTTTATCGGTATCGAACTTAAAATATTGTTCGGTTAGCAATGTGTACAAAAATGAGAACCTTTGAACCTTTGGCTAAAGGAGAACTGAAAACGCAGGGCTTTACAGTGATGTCCACAATGAAGAATTCGGTGGTGAGTGCATTTTTGGTTTGTTATTTCAGTTTATAAGTATTTGATTTACTTTTATTTAGTTAGAATAATCATACAAACAGAACACTAACGTTACTCGTAGCGAACGCAGATCATAAACAGCAGAACTTTTTGCAGCAAAATTTTTAGCCTATTCATCACATAACCTACAAGTGTAGCAACAAGTGTACGTTAGGCCTTTTAAACGTACATTTCTTTTTGGAATTTTCAGTGTGACTACACTAACGTTATATCTGCATTATTTATACTACATAAAAATATAAAAACTATATATTATATAAAAATAGAGAATAGTGTATGTGAATTGTGGGCACCACGGTGGCTCAGTGGTTGGCACTGTCACCTCACAGCAAGAAAGCTGCTGGGTCAGTTGCCATTTCTGTGTGGAGTTTGCAACTTTGCATGTTCTTCCCATGTTGGCGTGGGTGTCCTCTGGGTGCTCCGGTTTCCCCCACAGTCTAAAGATAGTCTACAATACTGTTGGTGAATTGAATAAACTTAATTGGCCGTAGTGTATAAGTGTGTGAATGTGAGAGTCTCTGGGTATTCCCCAGTACTTGGTTGCTGCTGGAAGGGCATCATCTGTGTTAAACATATGCTGGAATAGTTGGCAGTTCATTCTGCTGTGGCGACCACTGAAGAATAAAGGTTAGCAAAATGAATAAATGAATATATGTGAATTATGTTGTGAATTTGTTTTTGCATGACGAGGAGGTGTGATCAAGCTTCTGTTTATGTTCGCTGATCAATATTTGTATGTGAATGAAAAGCAAAGCAAAATCGTTTGATCATTTTAAGTGTCTTTAAAAGACTTGAACAGTTAATGTGGATATATTTTTTTATCTGTTTTGCTTGAAATCTTTCAGCGGAGATAAGAGAAATCTCTAACAAAATTTCTTCATTTGTGTTCTGAAAATTAATGGAAGTTTTATGGCTTTGGAACGACATGGGGTGAGTTAATGGCATAAATGATTTCAAACTCCTTCTAACTTTCAACTGTAATGGTTACTTTTTTGATGTGAAGCTATCACAATTGATATATGCAACTGACAAATCTCAGGAGGGTGCAGCCTTCACAATGAGACACGATGAATATAAACCACCTACATGCTTCAAAAGACATCAGTAAACAACATATCGAATCATCTTGTTGACTTACATCTTTCATATATGGTAATGGCCTAGTAGAGTTTTGCAGTAATGCTCTTCTGTTTTTAAAACTGCTAATGGTATTGTGTCTTGTTTAATGTGCTTGTGACTGAGTTAATGTCATACTGTATCACTTATTAAAACACTATTTTTTTTATTTATTTCACAAACGGATTTAGACATTAAACCATTGACTTGGGATGTATGAATTACATTAAGTTGGAACATTAATCAAACTAATTAATAATATATTCATGTATGATAATCATTTTTTATGATATGTAATATCTTGAACTGCAATTTTTAGTATAAAATGTGCAAAGATATGCATCAAGCAGGCAATTTTATTTTTTGTTATGTGTGTAGTTTTTAAAGTCAGCACTATACTTAAGTTAAGTTTGTCCTTTTTCTCCTACCATGATTTAAATCAAATTCAAAACAAGAAATCAAATGTAGGGTGGTGCATGACCAATTGGATCATTCGAAGATGGGCATTGATAACAAATTGAGCAAGATTTGAATGGCAGTTTGTACCTAGTTGTGGAGAATCACCGCCAGTACTCGGAATGCTTTCAGATGCCCACTGTTGATGAGGATGAGAAAAAAATTTACAGACGGAATCTTGTAATGTAAAGTATTTGCTCACACTGTGCTATTTGAGCCACGAATTGGTCATCTGAGAGAAATCCTAAAAGATTCCTATAATTCTGGGCTAAAATCTGTATTCCTTGATTGTTGGTATGACATGTTCAGCGTCAGCCACTTAATAGCTGTTGCAATCAAATTGTCTCTTTGATAAAAAGTTGGCAGTGTCAGTAGTCATACACTTAAGGCATTACTGTGTGTTTGTCATGAGGTTACATTTCAGAACGCAGTATAGTGAATGTGTCATGGATAAATTACGTCAAATTCTGGGGTGAGTTTTCTAGTGTGTTCTTGTTTGGCAAATCTTGATTGTCCTCAGTCTGACATTATGACAACTGAGGCCTTACAGTTACATGGGAGTCATGTGTGTGCAGTCTGACATGCTGCAATCGCAGTGTGAGCTGGGCTTTAGTTTGAACCACTGCCTCTCCCAAAGGGAGGGCAGAAACAAGACAAGCCCTGATAGCCTTATCCTAAAAGCATTCCATGTGACCAGAAGCAAAAAAAGTTTTTTTGAGGGGGAGGGAAGGTTAGGGTATTTGATTAATATAATGAGAGCAAAAAATATATATTTTTTACTAAATGATGAAGTGCACAGATACATTGTTTATAACAAGCACTATACATATAAAAATAAGTACATTTTATGGAGTCAATTTAGGGCCATATATTCTTGCAAAATAAAAGAAAGTTTTGCAAGCAAAAAATAAAGTATTGCACAAAAAACTAAAATCTCCAAAAATCACAAAGCAATTTTTAGTTTTTAGCTACATTTTTTTAAACTCTGCTTTATTTTTATTTGCAGTTCTTTTTTGTTTGCAAGTTAAATTTTTATTTCTCAAATCTTAATTTTCCCTTTGCAGTTCTTTCTTTTTGTTAGCTAAATGAATCTTTATTTCTCAAAAGGAAATTTTTGCTTTATGATTTTCGGATACTTGCATTTATTTTTATTTTTTATTTTTTGCTCAATACCTTATATTTTGTTTGCAAAACTTGTATTTTGCAAGCACATATGGCCCTAGATTGACTCCATAACATTTTGATGTCATGCCGACTTTAATCTGAAAACAAAAAACAAAGAAGATATTTGCTATCTGTAACATTGTTAATGATAGATTATGGATTTTGATAGATTAGCTATGTAGTAGACTAAGTGTTTTTCTTTTTTTTCTCTTTATCTGCTTTTCTTTCTGCACAGACTCTAAACTAGCATCTATAAAACAAACAAGTGTCACTTCAAAATGGAGTTTCTGCTTGCTTTACACATTTACTTCAACACAATGAGGATCCCATTTTTCAGCACTCTGCTGACAGTTACCCATCATTCTCATGCCCCACGACATCACCCCCATCAGTGCAGGCTGGGGTATAATTGCCTAAAATGGGCTCGTCTTTTGATAGCGTCTACGAGTTGGCCAGAGATGAAGATGTATTAGATGCCTGTAACAACTATAAAAGCCCATCAGTTTAAACTGGCAGCTCTTATCGCACTGTTGAAAGATTGTTTTTTCTTATTTTTGATTCAATCTGTGCAGTAGTTGAGAGGCATTTTCAAACATAAGGATGGATTTAGAAAATGAATCTGCCATATTATGTAACTTATGTGCAGGCCTCAGATTTGTGTCAAACTAGAGGTGCATTTATTAAAGCCACACACCATGAAATGAGCTATTTCACAACATGGATTGTGTTCATTTATTCTTTGTTTTTAAATTCACAATTATTAACACATGCACAGACACACACATGTCCTTTTGCCCACAGTTACTTCACTAATGAGCCTGTTTAGCATCTGCATGTGACTAATTAATTACCCTCCTTAACTCGTGGCTAAACCCTCGCTCCTGAGTTTAAACTGACCTAAATTTCCCACATGTGCTAATTAAGGTTGTGATCTAGACTGTGGACCCTCACAGGAGATGATGAGTGTTGTTGAGGGCATGTCTCTTATTTTATGACTGTTCCTCATTATAGCCATCAACTCACATCAGTGACAACCAACTCACTGTTAAGTTTAATTTATAATTATTTCCTGGAGTCAAACATCTGTTTGTTTGCATGTTGTCCTGATGAAAAAAATATATTTTGCTTGGACCAACCAGTTTTCCTCAGATTTCTAAATTATTATCAGGTATCGGATATTATATAGTGTGTTAATCTGTGATTGATTATTATTGAAATTAGCTGTTGAGCATCTGTTTTTTTTGTACATGTCAGATAACCCATAGAACTTTCCAGTTTTATTGATGGTTTTATGAGATTAGTCTCGCTGTAATGAGTTAGAGTGGTAAAAAAGGTTGGATCCAAAATAGCAGCTTTATTTAAGAATCGCTATACAGGCAAGGTCAACACAGTGACAGACAGGAGCATGCAGGTAATCTAAAGAGTGGTCAATATCCCAGGCAAATAGTCGAGGCAGAAAGCAAAACAATGTAAATGATAAACAAACAAGGGTCAGAAACATGACAAGGAATAACAAGGAAATAACTTAGAACTGCTCATTAGAGTGAAAACAAAACTCAGAAACAATGTGTGTGAGGTGTGTATGTAGTCCATATCATTAGTCGTGAACAGCTTAAGCTGTGTGTGCATAATTGAGAGGTGGTGTGGGGCTTGTGTGTAAGTGAAGTGCATGATGGGATCTGTAGTTCAGTTAGGTGGCAGATTTGTAGTTTGGGTGAATGACAAGGAGTGTTCTCCAGCTATCTGTGAAAGCTGGTGATCATAACAGCGCCCCCCTCCAGGAGCGGATTCCAGATGCTCCCTTAACAATCCAAGAGGAAGGTGGAATGGAGGCGGAACAGGGGGAGGAACAGAGAGCCAGGTTCATGCAGCGAAGGTAGGCCTGGAGCATGAAGCTGCCGAGGGCCTTGAGCATGAAGCTGTGGAAGGCTCTGCATCAGCAGGCATTAGCAGGTCAGAAACCCTAGTGGGTCAGGAGGCTCTGGGTCAGGAGGCACTGGCAGATCAAACAACCCAAGTTGATCAGGAGGCTCTTGGTCAGGAGGCACTAGCCGGTCAGATAACCACAGTGGGTCAGGAGGCTCTGGGTCTGGAGGCACCAGCAGATCAGACAATCCAAGTGGGTCGGGAGGCATTAGTGGTTCAGGCAGCTAAATTGACGGCAATGGCAACTTGGAGGTCAGGCGACAGCATCTATGGTTGCCACATCTGTAGCTCCGGAGGCA